AACCACTGTCCTCTTTGATGCTCTGTCTTGTGGGCTTCCCTTAGCACCTCATTTGCATCATTTTTTGATAAGCACGCTAAAGGTTCCCCTTCGAAGCTTCATTGGTACAACTTGCCTTGGTCAAGGAAGAAGCGGAGGGCTCGCCTCTTGACTCTGATTGCATCAGCTTTGTTCTCAGGTAGTGTGCCATTCCCAAGGTAGTCGATATATGGCTGCGCCCATTATTCACTACTTAAAAAATGGGCTTCATCTTCCTCAGGATGGAACTGACATTTTGTGCATTGCCTCTGCAATTCAATACTTTCTTTTTCCATCTCTGGCCAGTAGTACCCTTGCCTCTGTATTCGTCGGTATAGACTGATATCTCCATCTTTACAAGGCATAGCATGGATCTGCTTAAGTTTGTTAGTTGCTTCTTGCCTACCGACGCACCTTGCCAGCAAGTTGTTGGGACCGCAAAAATACAACTCTCCTTTGAGGAGCAGAAATGAAGCAAGCTCTGCTGGTCTGATTGCTCCATGGCCAGTTTTCAGCTGCTGGATTATATCTGCTCTCCACCCCTTAGCATCTTCCTCTGCATGTTCTTCAGTTAGCACCGCTGGTGTTGTCCTTTTCTCGATGACGATGGCTATACTATCATCTGGTATCTCCACCTTTGCCCCCAGTGTAGCCAAGGCATTGAAAAAATGATTATGTGTTCGAGGGGTATGCTGGATTTGGACATCATCAAACTGAGCAAGCAACTTTTGGACTACAGTGCGATATGGGGCTAACAGAGGCTCCTTCAAGGCAAAATCACTTATTGTTTGCTTGACAACTAACTTGGAGTCGCCCCAGATTCTCAACTTGCGGAGGCTCTTCTTTTGGGCAGCTATCAGGCCCAGTATCAACACTTCATATTCGGCCTCGTTGTTCGAACACTCAAAGTCAAGCTTATATGATCGATAGAACTTCTCTCATTCTTGACTGGTTAGTGTGACACCAGCTCCACCTTTCCCAGCTCCAGAAGCTCCATCAAACTTTAAGTCCCAATAAGTCTCAATCCCAGTTGTTGAGACATGGAACTCACCCAGTAGAGGTACCTCTGCAGGTTCATGTTCACTAGATGAGAACTGGGCCAGTAGGTCCGCAAGTGCTTGGCTCTTAAAAGCTTTAGGAGCGACACAAGCAATATCATATTCCGCTAGAGCCAAGAGCCATCTTGCCAATCTCCCGGTCAGAGCGGGTTTGCTCATCAAGTAACGGACTGGATCACTATGAGTCATAACCTGGATCGGGTGTGCCAAAAAATAGTGGCCAACTTCTGCGCTTCTCAATGACATTTATGTCTTGGACAAGTAGGGCTCCAATAGACCGCGGGGTAGAGGTCAGGTAAAGTAGCAAAGACTTTTCAGGCTGTGGAGCAATCATTGTAAGTGGGGAGGTTTCTTCACCATATCAAATGCCCATTGGTGTTCTTGTAGCCATTCAAACTTGTGATTCCCTTTCAGCAGTGTCCCAAAGGAAAAGGTTATCTCAACAAGGGCTGGAATAAACCTCCTAAGGTATGACACTTTGCCTAGGAATTTCTTCAAAGCTTTTTGAGAGTGTGGCAGTGGCATCTCCATGATTGACTTGACCTTATCCCTATCTACTTCGATCCCCCGCTGGTGTACAAGGAAGCCAAGGAACTTGCCAACGGTAACTCCAAAGGCACACTTCAGAGGGTTCACCTTGAGGCAAAATTTGCGGCAACGCTGAAAAACTTTTTCCAAGTTGCGGAGGTGGGAGTTTGCCTTAGTAGGCTTGACCACCAGATCATCCACATATACTTCCACTTCGTGGTGCAACATGTCATGAAACACTGCAGTCATAGCCCGTTGGTAGGTTGCCCTCGCATTTTTCAAACGGAAGGGTATCACCGTATAGAAAAAATTTCCCAAGGGCGTTCTGAAAGCTGTCTTTTCTGCATCTTTTGGAGCCATTTTGATCTAGTTATAACCACTGAACCCATCCATGAAAGAGAACATCTGATGGCCCGCAATTGAATCGACAAGTGTATCGACATGGGGTAATGGAAACTCATCTTTCGAGAAAGCCTTATTTAGGTCACGAAAGTCTACGCAGACCCTGATCTAACCATTCTTCTTCTGCACAGGAACGATATTTGCTAGCCAAGTTGGATATTGTATAGGCTCAATGAATTTGGCCCTCTGCAACTTCTCTACCTCTGCTTTAATCTTTACTTCAAGATCAGGGTGATACTTTCGAGCATGCTGCTTGATCGATTTAGAGTTGGGAAAAGTGTCCAGATGATGAGTGATGAGGGATGGGTCAAGACCAGGCATCTCATCGTATGTCCAAACAAAGACATCATTATATTACTTTAGTAGTGTTATCAATTCTGCCTTAGCTGCTGGAGCCATTGTATCACTGACAAACACTGGCTTACTCTGCCCAAGTAAGTCACTGAGGTTGACCTCAGCAAGTACCTCCTGTTGGGGTTTGGGCCTATCTTGCATGCATTTAGGGGCGGGCTCAGGCGTCTCCACCAACCTTTCTTGGGACTCATTTTCGTTACATTTATTTGCCTCGGGGCCATCCTTCTAGGGTATGAAGTTTGGCCCCCAAGACAGAATAGGTAGTAGACTGTCTTGCCGCCCTCGCGCACCTTAACAATCTTGGGCGGAGGGCTTGTGAATTTGCTGCTCTTTTTTTGTCCACTGCTTTGTGGAGCAGCCTCTACATCTCGAATGTCCTCCCACTTCAGCAATTTTACCCCTGCAATTTTACCAGTCCATGGAGCTCATCTGTTGACAATTCAGTAAAGAAAACTGCATCTGAATAGTGTGCCTCTTTCACTCCGAATGGCTTTTCAGACGCATTTATGGTAATTGTGCGTTTTCCTAATTTTGCCTTTCACACATTGGTGATAGCTAGACAGGATAACCCCATATTGGTGCATCCAAGCTCTGCCAAGTATCATGTGGTAATTTGTATCTGTTTCAATCACATGGAATTTAGTCGCGGAACGAATCTCGCCAACTGCTAAGTCCACTACAATATGGCCCTTAGTGACCTTTTTCTCACCACCAAAACCAGTTACAGTAATGGATTGGCGAACCATTCTGGACTTCGGGATGCTAGCCTTTGCGAAGGTGTCAGCGGTAATGATGTTTATGGACGTCCCACCATCGAGGAAAGCACGCTTGAACTCCACATCATTGAAATAAGTTGTGACAAAAAGATGACGGTTATGGGCAAGGTTTTAAAAAGCGGCCGCAACCGTTATGTAACGCCATTACGTAACGGTTTTGGTGGTTACCGCCACCCGTTATGGCCGCTTTTGCAATGTGATTGAGATTCACAGGTGTGTCGACTGTAGTGGTTGCCGTAGCGGTCGTAACGGTGCCGTAATAGTCATAACGACCTATTACGCACCGTTACGTAACGGTTTCGAACTGTTTCTTTCGAAAAAACACACACAAAAAAGCTGAAAATGGCGGAAAAGGGATAGAGAGAAGAGGGAAGATAAAGAGAGAAGATGGCGGAACAAGAGATAGAGAGAGAAGAGGGAAGATGAAGAACATGTTATTGATTTGTTGAAACTATAAGACCTATGCTATTCTATTCAGCTGCTATCACTCAACCATTTTGTTTGTGTGTAGACCTATGCTATTCTATTCAGCTGCTATCATTGAACCATTTTGTTTGTGTGTGTCTATCTATTATCTATTTGGCTTGGTTAAAATATGTATGTATATATATATATATATATATATATTTAGGCTCTTATTTATTCTCTTACTTTTGTCATTGTTTATTTTATATATAATAGTTAGTGATGGATTTTTTGTATAATATAAAGTCATTAATTATTAAAATAAAATATAAAAAACTCAGTTTATAGTGATTTAAAAATATAAAATATATTGGATCATACTTAAAAATTTACAAAAATTGATCAATATTTATTTTAAACCCAATAAATATGATCATGGAAAAAAAAATATGCGTATCGGTAAGTTTTTTAAAAATTGTCCTAAAAATAAAAAAAATTCATGGTTTTGGTTACCGCAACCGTTATGCTATGGCCTTTACACCCCGCAACTGCAATCGCGCCACCGCCACCGTTATGGCGACTGCAACCGCTTTTCAAAACCTTGGTTATGGGGAAATGGGTATGCTCTGTCTGCCTCTAAAAAGGTAACGGCCCCATAATCTTCCTAGATGTGTCGAGGCACATATTCCTTGGCCTCAGCAACTTCAGCATGGTGCACCTCAGGGATGCTGATGAGAGCCTTTGTTGCTTCCATCCTGGCGGCTTGGCTCAGCCCCAATTGGTCAAAGAAGGTGCGAAACTTAACAGAATTTTGCAAGGCTTGAGCATGAATATCCCCTGCGAATTTCGCCTCTGCAAGTGTTGTTTCAGGAAGCTGGCCAGTTGTAATTTCTTCTAACTCATCATAGTAGGATGCCATGTGTACTTGATCGTGCACAGGGCCAAGATAGCCAATCATGTGTACATTCTTCCCCTTTTCTTTGTGGTTAGGATAAGGGTCCTTCCGTACGTCACGATTATCGGTGTCTTTGAACTTTAGCTCATTTGCAGCAACTTTCTTCTTGAAGATACTTTTCAAAGTCCAACATTCCCTAGTAGGGTGTCTAGTGGTTCTGTGATAGACACAATAATCTGGGCTTTCTTTATCCTTCTTGGTTGGAGCAACATCAACCGGAGGTAAAGTAAGTTCGCCATCAGCGACCCATTCTTTAACCAAGGCCTTAACATTCTCAAGGCTGCAAGGATATGGATTCCTGTCCTCATAACTCTTCCTCTTTCGACAGGACGAGGCCTCTACTTGTGAGCGGTTCCCTCCTGCAGAGGTTACCGCAGCAACTGTGCCATTGCGAAAGTAACGGTGGCTGTCACGAGATCTGTGTAAAGGGCCAGTGGTACTGAGGTTTCTAGCTGCCTCAATCATAGCTGAAAAAGTAGGCAGATTATGGTTTACCAAGAAAATTTAATAGTCATGTATGGCATCCTCCACACATATGCTGACTAAGTGAGCCTCATCCACTGGTTCATGACAGTCAATTGCCTTGTCTTGGAACCGCTTAACATAGTCCAGTATATCTTCACCTTCTTTTTGGTCGTCTCGCCCAAGTGTGGGGGTTGTAACTTTCTCCTGGACTTGGAAGAACTTCGTGTGGAATTTATTCACCATCTCCTCCCCACTCTTGATCGAGTTGGGAGCCAAGTTCACATACCAACTGTAAGCTCTTTCAGTAAGTGATTTGGAGAACTCCCGAAGGCTCAGAGAGTGGTCACTGCCATGGACACCAAGAGTTTTAATGAACCTGACCACTTGTTCTCTGGCGTTGCCTTGTTTTCCATCAAACTTAAATAAACTTAGGCACTGTATACCCAGTTGGGTAGGGCATGGTCAATATCTCTTGAGAGTATGGGGGTTTCACATCTAGGTCTGGAGAGATGGCAATTGTTTCTTGCTGCGCTTTTGTTCGAGCATAGCTTGTACATCGGCTAGAGTAACAAAGTGAGTGGATTGGAATGGTCCAGTCTGTTCCTAGGTAGCTAAACCGGCGGTCATATTATTTGCCTGAGGTACCACCAGAGGTACCTGGATCGGAGCCCGAACCTTAGGAAACAAGTTAGGCGTTGGGTTTGGAACTGCTACAGGCGGGGGTGCTTGCACTGGAGCTGGTTTAGAAGCCATGGCCATAATAGCCTCAGTGAGAGTTTGCAAAGCTGCCAGGATCTCCCTCTGCATATCCTGGAGTGACTGAATTGCCTCAACCACGACACTATGGTCATGGTCTTCCGCATGTGTTGCTCCACCATTGGAAGAGCCCTGCTGCCGTGGGAGTTGTTGAACTTCCTCTTTTGCCATCTTTTCCAGCGAAGTGTGTAAGCCACTACGGAAGCGAACCATCAACAAAGCATCCTCCCCAGCAGAGTCGCCAGAAATGTAAAGGGGGTTCGAGATTAGAGAGGTGATTAGAGAGGCAAAACTATGCTAATGATCCACTGATGGAGGAAGGGGCTTGAGAATGAACAACAGTAATTATCTGGGAGTTGAAGAGTATGTTGCTGGGTGAGAGTGAAGCAAGTGGCTCAAGAAGAAGTATATGGCAGTACCAAATTGGGCAGCATCTCCCCCAAATCCCCAAAATTCCTCTTCTTGAACCTTGGGAAATGGGTCCTATTTATAGGCTTTTCCTTGGTGCCAAAAAGACACCAAGTGGCCAAATAGAGAGAAGACATATGTCCTAGAGGATCACATGAAATATTCTGCCTTGAGCCACCAGGCTGAAGGTGCCACGTGTCCCTCTGCATGTACTGTGTACTATCTGTTTGCCCCTACAACTACCTCTTTGAACCTCAGCAAGTGTAGTTGTGTCGGGAGTGTTTGGCGCGGCAACTCCCTTTTTGGGCCTCAGCAAGTGCAGTTGTAGCGGGAGTGTTTGCCTCTGCACTTGCCTTTTCAGCTTGAACCTCAGCAAATGCACTTTCAACGGTGAACCTCGTCGTTGCACTTGCCTTCTCAGTTCTATTTAGCTAATACATGCATTCTCAAGACTCCATTAGTCTGCTATCGACTATGTTCGTGCTCACCTCAGCGAAGCCTCCACCCTTAGCCACCTTACCACAAACTCCCTAACTTCTTAGGGAGAAGGCCACAGCCAAACCTGTTGTCAGTCATGTTGTGCCTTAATACCAGGCCTAAGGGGGCTTCCTTAGTCCTGCCTGTACGACTAAGGCAGGTCCATGACCTGGGTAATGGAAAGGGAGTCCCTTATGTTCGGGCTACCCTACTCTCATCTTCGTGGGGTTGCCGCGGTAAACTGGTATTTCTGGGCTTGCTATCAGCTCCATGTAGACGCGCCCGCGGAGGGGGACCTCGCTGCTACAGTTCGGACTCGCGATTTTTGTTTGTCGCGGTTCTTAATCTGAACCAAAGAGTCCAAATCTGGCAAATCGTTTTGAGAAACAGATTTTTGAAAAAGTAGTGCCAAACATGGACTGCTTTGCCAGATACAGAGTCGCCACCTAAATATTTTAAAATGAGGGAATTTAGGAAACCCTGACTCGGTGCCGAAGGCCACATGTCCGTCATCACCGGAGTTGTCTCGGCTCGGGAGCTTGGGTACAACT